ATATTTAATGAAACTTATAAGAGCTTCAACTTTTTGATACTATTCATGTTTTATAAATTTAAATTTCTCTCTTAAAAATTTATTTTTTTTAACTTCTTTTTAACCTTAAAAAAATCTTAAATAGAAAATTTTGAAAAGTTTTAAATTTATTTTTTTTGTAAAATTTCTTTTTACTCACTTTTTACTCTTTTTTTTTTTATTTTTAAAATTAACTTTTAAATTTTTCCTCAAATAAAAATTTAAACTTATCACTTATAAACAATATAAAAAAATAAAAACTCTTACAAACTTCACAAAATATGTTTAAATATCAAAACACTTCTAGAATCTTCTTCCACGCTAACGCCCTCACATTGCTCGTAGAGATATCAACGGGCCACGTAAGGTCGGGGAGTCCCTCCCCGTCCCTGTCCCTACAAATAGCGAGGACGAGGATCAACATGGGAATTTTTTACTAGAGGTAGATTTTGCCCTCAATCCCTATTCTTTGCAGGGAACAGGGATCCTCGTGGGGATTCTCATGGGGATCCTTATTCCCAACTAATTAATATCTAAATATATATTTTTTACATCAAACATAAATAATTAAATCAATACACTTGTTTCAAATATAAATAAAAATTAATCAAACATAAACTCTTCCAAACATAAGCTGTTCCAAATATAAAGACAAATTAATCCAACATAAAATAACATACTTATTCCAAACATAAGCAAAGATTAATTTAACATAAATAGAATAACTAAACCAACATCCAGCATGAAAGGAGGCAACCAAGAGCCAACTTAAAACACCTTAGCTCTCAAAATCCACAATTGCTCATAAAAAAACCTACAATACAATTAGTAAATACTTCATGTTAACATACTTAATCTCAACTCAAAGGTACCTTTTTATTATAGGGCTACCTTGTAAAGAATAAAATGTCAGTTTGCAATATCTCAACGCCCAATACTTTAGCTTTTGTATCCACTAAGCAGTGGTAGACAAAACTATGAGAGAATGAGAGAAGCGAAGGCAAAGAGCGGGTCGATACAATAGATAAAGCACATCATTCTTGTATCTTCTGTATGCTCATTTGTTGAAACATAAAACATTTGGATTAAATTAACCATGAATTGGGGAGATGGTCTATAAGACTGTAACTAATATGAGAATTTTCTTTTATCCTTCTCATGAAATAATTTAAAACCCATATTGAGCAGTCAATGAATCTAGCAAATTTTAGAAAATCTAGACTTTCTCTATGTTAAATCAACCCATAAACAAATTATTTAAACTTCTTACCGTTGCAGTAAGGGAGCAGTAGTGGCACAGCAAGGGAGCAGAAGCGGTGCAGTAGGGGTGCAACAGTGGCGCTAAAGTGGTGTAGCAGGGGATTTAAGGGGAAGGTCAAAGGGGAAGGTCGAAGGTCACCTAGTTGAGAGACACAGAGAGTCCGAGAGCGAGAAAAGGCAAAGGCAATGTTGTGAGAAGTGAGATCCGGAGAAATGAATAACAGAATAAGGTTAATTAGGGTTAAAAGCATTGGGTTGGGTTAGGTTGAGTTGGGTTGAGTTGGGTTGAGTTGGGTTGAAAAAAATTGGGTTAAATTTTATTGAATTGAATTTGAGTTTAAAAATTATATTAAATTTAAAATGAGTATTTTTTTTTAATTTTTTGTGGGGATGAGATCTCTGCGGGACGAGAAAACTTCTCCATAAAATTTCACAAGGAAAAAATGCCCCCCACCCTTGTCCCATCCCTATGGTGAAGATCCTCGCGGGACCTGCGAGTATCGGGGCAAATTAACACCTCTAATTGCTTGGGACATTTTAAACAGTGAGGGGGAGAGGGGGGCAACACAGAAAGGATGGTGTGGGAGCGGAGGACATCATGAGAGGCGATATAAAGGGTGTAAAACGGGAAAAGGAGTAGGACCTGTGATTTTAATATTTTATATTTTCAATCCCCATCAATCATATCTATAACTAGCATGTTTTTTCTTTTTATTTTTTTAAGTACAACCATTTAGAGAACATTTGGTCGAGGGAAAGTTT